AAAAATTAGAAACACGTTGAACATGTACTTGATATTTTTATGTATAGTTTTTATATATATATAGTTGTGTTGAAAAAAGAAGGAAATTTTAAAATGTCACTTTTATCGTAATTTTTTAGTCTCTTTTATATTTATTGTTTTTGTTAAATGTCTCCTATACTAGCTGAGCCCTTGTCTTTGTTTACTTGTCTAGACCAAAGATTTGTTTATTGGTCAACAATCTATAAAACTTTTCTCCATTTATATCAAATCAATGCCTTCTGTTCATTCTGTTCTACACGTGATAAAACTACAATATTTGACAAACTGATTTTTACAACAGTTATATGTATCCTTTTCTTATTTTTTGTGTTTGAATTTACAATTGCCAATTTATTTTGATTAATCACTCTAAGCATTTTCCAAATTCTAAGATTTTCTGTGCTTCATTGGTCTCAGAATCTAACAGGACCATCTAATAGGTTCATTGTGAACATTTTTGCTTTTTACAATTCCCATATTCTATTCATTTATTAAACAAGTTGATTTTTTAAATCATCCTCAGGTTCAAGAAATTGTTTCTTGATAATGAGCCTTATTGAGATGATGAAAAAGAGAAACTCTAAGTGAGTTTGTATATGGTGCGCGATTATAGTATTTCATATCGAAGCGATCTTCTTTTAGGATTTTTCACATTATCCTTCCGCCCTCCTGACCCTGTAGATACTCGCTTACCATCGCATTGTGCTAACACAGCTGTTGCTAGCCGATTGCTCGTACTCAAAACCACCTAACACGCGGCACCATCTGGAATCTTACTTTCTTCTGCTGTGTCTACACACCATGGGATGAAAAACATTCCTCTATTCTCTTATATTCGAGCCAATTTCTCCTAAAATTTCACTCTTTCCACTTTCAAATTGATTCCATTTCTTTTTCTCAAAACAAAATGCATTTAGATGTTGGCACCACATGTTTAGGAAATTTATTTGATATTTCTTTATTTTTTACATTAGTCGTGGCTTAATAATTGCACAGCTTGCTTTCAACTGCCGATAATGAAGCACAGTTAAGCGATTAACTCTTTCGAATATAAATATACAGTTAATACCTACGAGAAAAGGAGAAGCAATAGTGTGTGATGATTTGGAACATGTAGAAGGAAGCTGCATGCGCTTGTGTGCTAATTACTTGGTGTCGGCACATTTGCATCCACGTTCGCGCTCGCTCTGTCGGGTGGCGTTAACCCTCTCATTAAACGTAATTGTTTGCAATAATTTGATGCCACCTGTCTCCCTTCATCGTCGTCGTCGTCTCTGGCAACTTCTCTACGTACCTGATGACAATGCACTCTAGCAATCTGCGAGTACCTTGTGTAGCAACGTACACACAAAAGGCGCGTTCAATTCCACCAACTTGAACTGTTAATGCACCTACTTTCGCTTTATCCTCTTGCCTTTCGTTTTTGAAAACCGCTCAAAATTCCCGAGTTAATTAAATGTGATCGTGTTATGGGATTGTTAAAATAGTGATTAAGTAGAAATTTTCCAGATAAATAATGTCAACGAATACCTACACTTGTTCTACACTTTGTAACTAAAGGTTTCGTAAAATTGACTATTTTTCTTTTGTTGTTGGCGACATTATCGTCAACTTTTGTCTAAAGTGTGGAATAATTAGTTGGCTTTAGATTCAACTAGATTTTTCATGAAAAAAATGTCCCTCATATAAAATTACACAAACATTTATTCCGATTTTCCCAACGCAGTGATAATGAAAGACAAAATTATTTTTATATTTTGATTAATGGATAAAAGAGAAGATGTTGGTGTAATTTACCCTGAGGGGTTTGTTTAACCTGGGTTTTAAAGTTATCTCTTTCGAAAGCAACTCTCTCCTCTTTTAGTGAAAAACCATTTCCTGTCTTCTCTCACGGAAGGTCGACGTCGTCGTCGTCGTCTTTGGTAGCATACAAAGCGCCTTTGGCACTTGTTCGTTCCAAGTAAAATCTATGTTTTCAAAGTTCAATGAGCTTCGATACGTACTTTTGCTCGAGTCGACGCGACGCAGAGACGGCAAATCGTGTTAGTGCATATAGATGTAACGCTAGTTTCGGGGATTGCGCGCACAGACACAGGAAATAAAGTAATCCACCCCCGGCTGATTCACTTGTTATTTTTTATGCCACTTTTATAGAAGATTCTTATTGCTATTTTGTTTTCATTAAACTTGAAGCGCACAAATATAATATATATATATATATATATATATATATATCCATATCGCAAACTAAAGACAAGGGAAATTGCCAACTCTTCTAAATTAATATGCATCATCAAACATTAAACAACAAACATCAAGTCCACAATGTTACGATTTAGGACACTAAATGCAATTAATATTATTATATATTTATTACGCGAAACTCACTTTTATTATCTCTGAAAACTGAAAAGAATAAAAGACAGTCAAGTATATACAAGCCTGGTGGTGAGATCATCCAAAGAACACAGAAAGAGAAAAGAGAAATACAAAAGGGCATTTATTAAATCCTCAGCTGCAAAGATCTCGCTACGGCACTGAATTTAAAACAAGTATACATATCAGAATGAACATTAAAGTATGATTAGATTTGCAATAAATAATTTTCTCATTTCTTTAGTAATAGTAGGTCTTATAGTAGAGTGGAAAAAAGATGTCGAGCTGTAGTTTATTTATCCAATATTGTTTAGGCAATAGAATAAAGCGTAGTTAACTTTTTTTCTCAGTGGTTGCAATGAATTTAGTTTGCTTAAATAGTTTTCACTGGCTAATTTCACATGCAACAAAAATCACACCAATTTTTCTTTGTACTCATATATAAGGTACATAAGCTTGACTTTTTGAAAGAGGAATCTTAAATGCATAAGATGAAATTTGTTTACATTTCTTAAAATCAAAAACAATGAGAGCAAATATGAAAAAAATAGGCTACTTATATTTTAAGGGAAGCAATGGTTTAAGCAATCTCTTTCAGGTACATACATAAAAGGAAAAACAAACAATTCTTTACAATTTTAAAATTAAATTTAAAGTATAGACCACTATTTTCAGCGATATTGCTATCAAACTCTTTCGATAAGACGGGCGGCATCCCTTTCAGTTGTCATCGAACTTGCAAAATTTATTGCTTCTACCTACATTCCGTTTATTTCAGAATTGTCACTTGCTTTATCGTTAAAACTATTTGTCTTTTTCCCTATTGTCCAAGATTTTCCCAGAATTCCGAGTTACTTTTTTCATTGAAATTTCATTTTTAGCAACTTCTTGGTAATTCATAGTCTTTTTCTTATTCGTTTAAAGAGAAAGAGCTCCTACTTTTTCCATTTTACCGGTATATTATTATATATACACGGTCAGTCACTGCAGCAGCATTCTTTTACCCGGGTAAAAGGGCAGCAGTGCTTCTGCACATTTCTAGAAAAGACCTGTACACTGTCAAACTAATGAAGACGATCTTGCTTCACTTGCTAATAATAATATGGTAATTGATTACGCTTTTAAAATGAGTTTTGATAGTTGCAAATAATTTAACAACAAAAGAGTAAATAATATTAGGAAGTATATATAGTTTTCTTCGAATAAATATTCGTTTTCCTGATTATTAAATTATATTAAAGATGAAAACTGACAATGTTTATTATATTTTAAATGTATATCTTTTTAGGGAATTGGATCAAATATTGTTCAAAATAATTTTTTCATGTTCTTTAAACATTAATATTTTCTTAAAAAATAAATAATTACACATTTCACAAACGCGCAGCAATTGACGCACTTACCCTAATAGGTGTGTGCATGAAATTTTCAAGTTCTCCTACAATTATTGATTAGAATATCGAAAAATAACGTAAACTTGAAAAAATAAATAAAATGATGCACGAGGGGAATCGAACCAATGACCTTATAGGTTTTATAGACAAACCACTATGCTGAAGACGCGTACATGCAGTAAAGTTTTATAATTTCTCAGTATAATTGAGACAAATTGAATCAAATAAGGTTGCACAGCCTTTTATTTCTCTTTGATGATTCACGATTCGTATCTAATGACGACGACGACAATGATTGTTGTTGTTGTCGTGCCTTAATTTGCTATATCATTTTTGCGCCAAGGCTTTTGTTATGCACTTTCTTCTTGTTTTTTCGACAATGTTTACGAGTTCTCGATGCGAATTGTCTCTAGCTCAAACTGTAGTCTAAAGTCAGCCCTCGTGAATGTTTTCGGTGTGTGTGTGTGAATGAATCGAGAGAGCGATTTTCGATTTTTATAAAATATTTTATTATAGTTTCTATTTTGCGATAAAAATTTGTCAACTCGTTTAATTTCTCAATTTTTTAATTTACAAAACTACTTTTTTAAATTTAAATTCAAACAATAAAATAAGTATAAATTACAATTGATTAAAACACTTTTACAAATTTCTTTATTTCAATTTTTTCTTTTTAATTAAGTACAAAATTTTTTTTAAATCAAAACAATTTGTCTTTTGTTGTCCGAGTTGAAAAATTTTCCATTTTACATATTAATTATTCACATTAATAATATTTCGTTTTAATTTATATCAATTTTTTTTTTCATTTGAAAATTTTTATTCTTTAATGTTTTAAAAACAATTGTACATCGACAAAACTCCTTCATGTTAGCCAATGAATTGCAGACCATGGTGGTTTGGAGGTGTGTTGAATGAAAGTTGCGACACAATTAAGATAATAATCTAGGTACTATACTCGTGCTGTATTACACCAACGACTTATGTGCGAGATACACGTGTGAAGATGTAATTAAAGATAGCATTGTGCTATAATTCGAAAGTAAAAAGTTCTGTGTGACACACAGTATAATATATATACAGTAAATTACGTTTTTATGTGCCCTAAAGTAATCACAAAAAATCTGCGCGATCAATAAGAACAAATGAAAAATAATTATTCACTTTTAACTTTTAATCTGCATAAATAAATAAATAATATACAACATTTTTATACTCTAAATTAAATTACCTGAATTAATTATTTATTTATATATATACATATATATATATACATATATAAATAGCTATTAATAAATTTTTAGAAAATAAAACCCAAAACTGTTTTGAATTTCTTCACATTTTCATCAACTTGAAAAAGGGCTCAAACAATAACATGCTCTGGGGGGCCTTTTGTAAATAATAAACTACCTCTCGACTCTACTCCCTGACGTTTGTTGATTAGAATCGACACTTGTGTCTTTGGAATAAAAAGTACAATTGTAAACAGGGCCAAAGCAGCTAAATTGTTGACAAACGATAGGTCGAGTCAGACCAGAATGACCATCTCCAATCACTCCATTGGACGATTGATTATGCTGTTTGATGAAATTAAGTCATTTTCTACTGTTGTTAATTGATTGACTCAATTCACATGCAAGTTAATTGAATGACTCGGTCGGATTATAGAGTAGTGTGAAATGAGATGTAAAAATCTGACACTAAGTAGAAAATGACTGAGAGCAATAACTGAATAAAATGGATATAGTATATGAACCCTTGTTTTGCTATGCTTCCGCAGCAGTTGTTTGTGTGTGTGAGAATAAATGTTATGATTGTGTAGAAACAGAGATGTATGCTGGGACAAACTACACCTACAAGCAATGTAGGTAGGACATAGAGGTGCAGCAGGCGGCAGAGCTTTGGCGCATGGTTGTGGTGGTGATGACGATACCAGCGCCGAGTATGGTCGAATCGAGAAATAAGCTCAGGGGGTTGGCCCGTGAGTGAGCTGCTGCTCAGCAGTCGCGGAAAACCATCATAGTTGGTCGTATGTTTTTTTATCCGACGCGTTTAATCCTTTATTGTTTCTTGTTAATCATCAAATTTATTTCAACAGTAGTAGTACCTGTACGGAGAGTGAAAAGTTTACAATTTCAAGATTTAAAATTCCAGAATCACTGAGAATCGGTAAAGTGTCAATTATATACAAATATACTTGGAAAATGCAGTTTGGCTTATTATGCTAAAGTTGTGCACCTTTATTTAGTTTAAGATAAACTGTATTTTGTGCACATGCAAAAATGGTTGCTACTCTAAAATTTTCGATCACATCGAATTGTCGATAAGGTTATTTTTTTGACCCTTATTCAATAGACTATTGAATAAATAATTGTACAGTTATTTTTCATTAGCTATGTAGCTAAAGATTCTTTGTTCGTGGTAGTTGCATCCGGAGTATCGAATCATTTTCCTCTCTTTTATACATCGTAACACAAGTTATATATGCCTACAAAGCTTTTTCAAACCAATTTCAGTTTACCGATTATTTATGGCATTAGTACTTGACACATTCATATTGAAGATCCTCTATTTATAAAATGGATGTTTTCCAACGAAACAGATAATTTTATGTAGATATATTTAATTTCTAAAAAAAACTTTCAGATCACAGAACAAAAGTAACTCTAATTATTTCTTCCAATTATAATTATTATTAAAAGTTTGCTAGCATATCGATAATTATTCAAAAAATATTATATATAAATATTATCTTTAGATTAAATAATTCTCCTTTTTTAATTTTTACACACTAAAAAAGTAAACTTTAAGAATAGAATTTACTCGGTATGGTTTGTACGTTAGTGATAGTAGAGGTTGACAGCTCTATGATATATAGAATACCGAAACTCGAAAATTGCTAAACACAACTTAATTCAGCACTGTTACAAATCAATAAAACTCGGCAGAGTACAGTTGAGTGGGAGGTTTCGAGAAGAGGCGTTTGAAAAATTTGTTAATCTTGTTTATATAATATTTATGGCTTACTTTCTTGTTATAATGTATGTCAATTTTAATATGATATATTATAGAAACGAATGAATGTTCTCCTTGGGTATAAAAAGATTGTACCAAAGAAATTATATTTTTACGAATAGACACTTGATAACTTGAAATAAGCTTCAATATAAACATTAATATCAAGTACATGATCGTCACAAATTTCAAGTTCATTTAGACGCATGTTCAATTATATAAGAATATATAATAAATGGGAATTATTAACATCAACATTATTTTAATAACAACGTTGCTCATCTTAAATGCACGTATAAGGATGTTGTTCTAAAAGCATTCTAAAGACAATCCATCATCATTAGAATATTAATATATTATCGATAATTATGTATTATTAATATCTTCAAGTGGTAGAGGTATTGCAGGAAACTTTATATTTTTTTAAATGATTGCTTATTGAAAAAACATTATTAAATAATTATCTGGCTGTAGATTTATATACAATAGACAAGTTTCATTTCTAATATATTTTAATAAAATTAAATTAAAACATGCCTTGGCATAAATACTTTATTTGAACAAGAAACTTGATTTTGTTACAGATCAACTGCAATCATCATCATCATCATCAAGCGCTCACGTCAAGTTACTTGAAAATAATAGAAACATGATTGAGGAGAAAATTTATTTAAGGTAACAGAAGCATAATGTTTGAAGCACTAGACTACCAATCTCTTTTAAACGAGTGGTAAATCATTTTATCTGAAGGAGTTTATGAAGAAAAATGGAAAAAGTGAAAAATAAGTTTTCGTTGCAAATTGGGACTTGGATGTTTAATGGATTTACAATTAATTATAATGGTGCGATTTTAAGTTAAAATTCACCCGAGTTTGCATCAAAATAGTGTGTGAACAATGTCGTGTATGTTTAAGTGAAGGTAAACTATCATATGAAATTCAGTGCCTGGAAAATTCGTGGTGCAAAACTTGCAAATTCTAAAAGTGAGTCAGATTGCAATGTTAGTTTGTGATAATCACAAACTACTGCTTAAAACAGAAAAAATGGCAAAACATTAATAAAGATGTGTATAGAGAAAAAATTATATAAATGGAGATCTCAGTAGTTTTATTTGATTGGTGTAAGAATAAAGTTGAACTTTCAAAAGTGTATAAATCTGGATTTTAAGTACGAGAATCATTACCAGGAATGCAGGAGATCCGCAAAAGGTGGTTCAGCGCTGTTTGGTCGCTTCTAGCTGTCTTGTCTCATCATTTAGGTAAGAAAGAGAGAAAGTACTGCGCTCGTTGAGAGAATGTTGTTTCGAATTTGAGAAACAGGAGGAGGCTAATTAAAAACTCACAAGTCAACTCGATTAAGTGCTGCAGCTAATTTATCACTATATCACGTACATTTTATACAAGTTGTCCTATTTACGAAAATAAATAGTGAGAGATATTGAACGCGTGAGGCTAAGGGGAAAAAAGAATTAATTCACCTTTATATTGAATATAAATATTTTGAATTTAACAATTTTTATCAAATAAATCTTTTATCACTTGGGCCATATTTTTTACTGACAAAATCTGTCATTTTTTCACTACCAATCAGTTATATTTTACTGTTTGCAAAAGCAAAAAGTCAGTCACTGACTGTGTCCGCAGTTGAACAGTGATTTTCAACTGATTCAACTTTAGAGACCCGGTAAGAAGAGGTTGATTAAAATAGATTAAAATGTATACAAATATCGCTAAATTCTGAATCATTTCAATGCCAAACTTATGTCATTTTTGAACTTCCATGTTTTAATTCCTTTAAAGATAATTCATCTGCACACATTTATATTCTATTTAATTCGGTATACATTTTACTTCTTATTGGGTAATTAGAATTGAAAACAATTTTATTCTGTTTAATACCATAAAATTTGTAATCATTAGAATTTCATTTATGACTTAAATATTGCTGACACTTTAATTCGTTTTAATGAAAAGGTAATAAAATGCATTAAAATGAGTACATATATGGTCAAAATTCAATAGGCTTTTAATGCCAAACCAATGTCATTTTTGAAATTTTGTGTAAACATTTCAATCTATTTTAATCAACCTCTTCTTACCGGGGAGCAAAAGTACTTTTTTTTGAAGGAGGAATTTGATACTACGAGCCTGATTTTTAATATTCTTTAACAAAAATTTTATATGATACTTGATTCATAATTCACTTTCAGACATAAAAGCGTTGAAATAAAAAAATGTATTTATTTTATGAAAAAAATTTTATATGATACTTGATTCATATAATTATTGTTTTTTAAATTTAGCACAAATTTTTCCAATAGTCTACATATTTAATGATCGAAAACATGCAAACAATAATGAAATTTTTCAACTGAAACCATTTTGAATTTTTTTTTTAAATGGCACTTGATAAAACATCTATATATAGTTTTACATAAAACTGTACATTTTAAAAATAAAGAGTCAATAGTAGAAATATAATATAAAGTTGAAACATCACTTTCTTATGTTGTAAATGGCTTTAAAATCGTCAACCAGATTCACACAGTACTTTCATGCGTTACATGTTGGCTGAAAATTTAGTCATATACACATATTAAGTTTAAATAAATGCTTCATAGAATGGAATCAAACTGCACCATCACGTTTTTTGCGCAAGCATACATAGAGAGGGTGGGAATATTTTATTTGGCTTTTCAATGTAAAAACGTGATCGTGTGTGGTTGCTGGTTGGCAAAGTGCCAGGACTATGCACGACATAGCAGTTGTATTTGTTGGTTTCCGTCTCGTTAGGCGGAAAATCAATTTATTTTTATTCTTAGTGGTATATATTTACTCATAGAGGAATACTATATGTATACTACAAATATTTGGACTTTTTTTTGCAATTGGCATTGTCAAAAAATCAATCCAATTCACTTTTAAATGTTCTTTTTGAAAGTATATAATAGAGACAAATATGAAACTTTCAAGTCGTTTTGTAGACGCCGCGCCGCGGTACCATCAAAAGATGTTACAAAAATATTGTCATGTTAATCAAAAGTACAATAATCGAAAGTTGTCACTCTGTACAATCTGGATTGCTACCGATGCAATCTAGAGAAAGCTGCGCTGTTCTCTCAGTACAAATATTGACTGATTATCCTGCAAGTTTTTATTCATAATAATTATAATGATTGTTATTCATTTTATATGAATTTTAGAAAAAAAATCTTGACCTTTTTCTTGTATAAATCTTCTTTTTAAAAAGGTTCAAAAGAATTTTGTAAATGGTAAATTGTTAAGTCGATATAATTCTGTAAAAATCGTTCTGCTATATCTCTTATCTTCTGCCCTTATTAAAACTTTTGGCTTAAAAAAAAAGTAGGAAAAAATTCCCTTGCACGTCCTACTCGCTTATCGCACTACAACTGTGAGACTAAAAGTGTAAAAAATTTGATTTAATGGGATGAACACTTTTAAATACCTTCAATATTTGTGCATTAAGAAACCGCAAATTACAAGTTTTGCATTTTTCTTGACAAAAATTCATTCATCTCTATTATTTAAATTCAGTATGTGCGCAAGGAATAAAACAAATATAAAGACATATTTTTCAAAATACCTCCGCTTTCTTAGTCTATTGTAATTTGTTTTTAAAGTTTATTGACAACCTAGTTGGTGAATTATCAGTTCGCGTAAAATAAGAATTTAACCCTCGGAGAACACATGGGGTCATTTTGACCCCACGGTTTTTTGCGAAAAGCTTTTTATCTATTGTTTAATATTTTTTATAAGGATTTTAAAGTCCACAGACTTATTTTACAGAGTTTAAACTAAATTTTTAAAAAATCTTTAGGTTAATCAGATGAACAGTTCAAAATTGGTTGAGCATTGAAAAATGATTTAAAAAAGAGGTGTGTTCTCCGAAGGTTAATATTTATAATTTTAGCCTCTATTGTAGATAAAATTGGTCCATTTCTCTGAAGGTGTTGATAAAACTTTTAAGTGATATTCAATTCCCCTCGCACTTACATGAGTAATCATATATATTCAATATAAAATGATAATATATTAGTATGCACCTATTAGGGTCCTAGGTGTGTCTTTATAGTCGAGCAAATTGACACAAGTTTTGTAAAACTATACCCGAGACCAAAAGACGCACCTAGAGGACCCTAATAGGTTCATACAATATTTTATGTAACGGAAGCTATAGTTGTGGTCACTCTGCACTTCCTGTGCAGAGTTGCGCATGTTAATTTTCTCCTTATTGTTTAGTGCAAGTAATCATGGTGGGGAGTATTCTCATTATTACCCTACACCCTTGTTCACAGGTCAATAATGGATTTATTATTGCCTTTGGGTAATAATGAGTGTACTTCCCAACGACTACTCGCGCTGGGTACTAAAGAGGAACGCCTTGTTCATTCTAAATCTCAATCAATGAAAATTTCACAGATTCAGATTTAGTGTTGCATAAATACATTTACGCACAGTAGAGATGTGGGAATAATTCGATTTGATTCTACTATTTAAAGATTTCTTGTGTGATACCAAGCAATATATCATTTACTAAACATTATATTTGATTCGAAATAAATTTTAACTCGAATCGCCTTTAGATCTTGTTTCTGTACTTGTACACGATCTTGTACAAGAACATTTTCTTATTCTGGATGTAAACAAATTTTAAATTCTTGCTCAGGCACATATTTTCTTGTATCAGTTTATTTTTTTGTTCAAATCCAAAAGCAAAACCTTTTTAATAATAATAATAATAATAATAAAGAAAACCTATATTAAAAGCTACAGCTAAATTAAAATGTATGAATTATGTCTACGTGTTTATATATAGTTGGTTGTAATATTAGTCAACATTGTCGTCGTTTCCAACTGCCACAATGACTATCTCGGCATAAAATTCTTTTCGGTGCGTCGCGGAAAACAGTTGACAGTGATGATGAAAGTTGTCATAAGCAGCGTACTAAAGCTCCAAAAAAAAAAAATTCTTTGCATTCATTTATTATATTCAACCTTGCTTAAATGAAAAAGTAATTTTATAGATAATGTTAGTTTTTAAAAAGTATCAAGACTTGATTTATTTCTTGTTTTTAAAATTTACAATTCTCAACTTTTTCGCAGTAGGAATTTAGCAAAAAAAAAGATGACCGCATTCAAACATTGATTCATTTTGTATATTTAGTTGTAGCATTTCATTTAAGCCACCTAATAAAACACATGTCTCATTATCTATAGATGAATAATCTGATGATATATATAATGATATAAAAGTCTACTTTAGAGAAAACTTGAAAACTTGACACTCAATATACCTCTGCCAATTATATGGAAATAAAGAATATTACAATATATAATATATACTTTTCGTAAAAGATTTTGAAAATTGTTAATGTAAAGATAAGAAATTGACCACGTGTACTTAAGTGTATAATTTGAGCGTTAGAACAGTTAAAGTAAAACAAGGAATAAAAAAGACTTGAGTAGGTTTTTTTACATTAAGATATCCAGCACGACAATTTTAGTCAAGTAGAGAATCGCATGTAAAAAATTTTCCATCACCATATTGGGCTGCGCCATTTACTTCCTAATAAAAGGCCTTTACTAAGGTTATCCTTTTATGTCACAAGCAGAGTAGAGGTGTCGGCCGAATGTCCAACTTCTTATCGAGATGGCAACACGAAACGCAACACTTATCGTCTATCGCCCTCAAAACTTTGATTGTTATATATGGTGGTGGTGGTGGTGGTGCACCTGGAACAAAATTAGCAGCACAAGAAGTGCTGACATCTTGAATTTTCTTTTTCATTTCGATTTTACATATAATTGTGTGCGCTCCCCTAATAAAGAAGTAAATAATCCACCTCATATTAAAAAAATTGGTTGCGATTTCAAGTTTATTAATCGAAAATTGCAGATGAAAGAAGTCTCTCGGCGGATGCGCACGCTGATTATTATATGAATCTGAAGTCAGTTTTAAAAAACTTTGAAAATTTGAACTAAGCTTATAAAACAAACGACTGTTGCTATTGTGGTGACTATAGCGATTACAATGACTCATTTAAAATATAGTAGTTTAGAAACAAGTGGAGATTTATTATTAACAATCAAAAGTTTCAATTTATTAAATCTGATTTCAGTTTCGTAATTAGCGCGACTCCAAAAACCCCTGAATAGTGCGAGTTGAAGGGAATTTGAGTAAATTTAAAAAAAATTGTCTGCCCTATTGAATCTGCTATTTTGAATATTTTGTAAAACTGACTTGTTGTTGTAAGTGGATTTTATGATGTTTAGAAGAGTGAGTATTGAAATTGTTCAAGGTCTTACTTTATGTTAGGTATGGGGTTATTAATAATGAAATGCAATGCAAATCGAAACGATTTAGATGCAAGTTATATAAGTGATTTAAATTGTTCTCTTCTTCCATTATTTCATTAAGGCTGATATGTACTTGAAAATATTTGTTTGCACAAAATTTTTGAAATTTTATCATAGATAAATTCAAATATAACAAGTCCCAGTGCGCATTAATAGACGCATATAACGGGAGTCTCTTGTGTTTTCCAGGATTAACAATGATGCTCCATACGCAAACCATCCCACACAGCACATGATATTTCCTAAATATTTCCTGAATATTTCAATGAAAGATTGAAATATTACATTTGCAAGGTCCTTGAAATATTGCTGCAAATAGGAAAATGTCCGCCTATGTGAAATATTGACGCGAAAGTTTAGAAAATATTTCATTGAAATATTTTGGAAATTTTCAACTTGAATTATGCTTCAATTATTTTTATGGGATTCTTATAGATATTAATCAAATGGCGGTGATAAATGTATATATTATCGGAAAGCATCAGTCAAAATCTTGCAACCATGTATTTAATATATTCACAAGAAGCATCGATCCCGTTTTAAATTAATATATTCGTTACTTGTAATCTTTAAATCAAAAATGTTTGATATGAGAAAGTCGGTATTAGAGATTTACTGTCAAGACCATTCCGAATATAACAAACCCCAAGTTGCATTTTAAAATAGGTACTTTTTCATTTTAAATTCTTTAAAAAAAAGAGCGTTAAAAAATGAATTAGACGATTGAAAATATCAATAGTTGTTGAATTTAGTCAAAATTTTCAAATTGCTGCAGTGAGAGAATTATATTGTATCAGATACAATAAGATTGTACAGAATAACATGACAATATTTTTTCAACATCATTGATGGTACTGAAGCGATATGATCTCGTAGGAGATTATTGTCATTGACTCTTGAAAAATGTGACCGTTCCGACTTTCGAGTATTTGCTAAATTCGAGTTAATTTCCGCGTTCTCTGATAATCGGGCTAGAGAGTGGGGATTGGCGGATTGAATTCTGGGGTCGAAGAAGATTGTGAATAATCAATTTATTAATTGACTTTTGCGATTCATCGATCTCAGGTTCAACGACGGCTATATGCTTATTGTAAGTTTTAGTTTATTTTTTTTATTTATTTCTTACTTGTTTTTTTTTGTTTTCTTACGTAAAGTGTGGCCGTTTTTGGGTAATCCTAAATTATGGCGATTTCAAGGATAACGTTTAAATATTTGATAAAAAATAAGGGACAACCTCGGAAGTCGGAACAAATCACGGTGCCTCGATCGTCCCATAATTGTTCGTGATAATTCTCGATGACTATATATATTAATTTGTCAATCTAATCTTTAGCCATTATGCTTTCCTAAAAATGAAAGAGATGGCAAATCAAGTCGTGAGATGAATTGCGAATGTATATTTGATTACTGCTGTCCTGTTTATGATGATATTACTGATGAATTAAATCATAAATTAGAAAGAGCCTTAAATGCATGTATTAGATTCATATATAATTTACCAAAGACTGAGCATATCACAAAATTTAGAATTGAAGCGGGTATTATTATTCGAGGTGCAAGGCTTTGGAACAAGTTGACTATTAAAATTAGAGAATCGTCGAATCGTTTCTGTTTTAAAAAGATGTTTTTTAATTTCCTATTTCAAGATAATGGGAAATTATTTGATGTAACTTATTGTTAGCGATTCACTAATTATGATTATAGTATTGGTGTCACTTACTTCTGAAAGTAAAGTATAAACTATTGTTGAGTTAATTATTGATTGTTATAATAATATTTCTTTTTTGTTACTGTTATTTTTCATATTACATTAAATAATAGATAGTTTGACTGTATACTACTTTAATAATAAGCACGAGTTATATTACATATTTTTTTTTAAAACTAATATGATTATTACTATGTACTGTTCCTTTGAGGGCTTGTTAGCCCTAGGAACTTGTTTTTTTCTAAATAAATAAATAAATAAATATTAAAAAAATCGTTACAGGACTCGGTAACATAATAATGATGGCATAGGTTGTTACATCAAAATTTAAACATCCATTTCTCTCAGTGTGGGTTATCTGTACGAATCTTCTGCTAATAATACTCCACGTGAAATATGATTCCCGGGAATATGATGCAAAGAATTTCCCGGAAATTTTCTTGGACCATTTTCAAGAATTATATATTTCACGTAGATTAAAATATTGACTAATTAATTGACGCAGAAATCGTAAAAATTGTGTGCATTAATGTTATTACTGTCCTAACCCCAAATCTTAACAAATACTTTTTTTCCAGAATGTTCAGCGAAAGGAGGAGGTGGCTCAATAGTTGAACATCATCCATCTTCATATTGGGAACAACCATTTAGTCAACCCTATTTTGATAATACAACAAAACGAGAGACAATCACAACTGTTGGTCAAACAGCGTATCTACACTGTAGAGTTCGTAATCTTGGCGATCGTGCTGTAAGTAAAAAAAGGCTGATCCTTTTTAATTAAAGCTGTTGATTAAACTCACGTTTCCAAATGAAATGTATAGTATACATCCTGCGATTAAAGTCAATATAATTGTAGTCTATAATTTGGTCTCATCTTTGGGGGGGGGGCGCATTACGACCTGATGGATTTTAAATAATTTTCATAACTAAATTTTTTAGCAAATGTTTTTTTTAAATTTTTTAATTAATACACGCAGAAACTGTTTCTTCTAATATTCAATGTATTTGGTTAATATCTTTCTTCTAAAAGATGTTTATATAATTTTGGGATTTTCAGTGCGCGGTGTATTGTGTCAATATAATTTCAATTTTAATACGAAAATTAAAAAGTTTGTCTCGCATCTATTATAACACGGCGTACAACCTTTGCCGTGTACGCAGAAATTTAAATGTCAGTTTTTATTTGTGTAATTATTTTAAACTTTATTTCACGTATAGATGGAATATACAAGATTCACTCTAAACCAAATAACATGTACCAATTTTAACTATTGGCCAATGAGTATTGGCAGACTATAAATAAATTTTTCATCTCTTTATTTAATATATTTAATATTATGTTATACTGATGATGATGATATTAATAACTAGAAATATTTAAAAAATCCAACAACTTGATGTTTGTTTTACTGTCTTTTGGACGCGCATATAGGTGTCATGGATTAGAAAAAGAGATCTGCACATTCTCACTGTAGGAATCTTAACATACACAAATGATCAACGCTTTCAATCGTTGCACAGTGATGGAAGCGACGAGTGGACATTAAAAATTAGTTCATCTCAAGTTCGTGATAGTGGCATATACGAATGCCAAGTCTCGACAGAACCAAAAATCAGTTTGGCCTATAAACTCAGTGTAGTAGGTTAGTATCTTTTAAACAATAAGTTGAATAGTTTAGCAGTGAATGTATCATTTTATATATGGTTTGTAAACTGTCAAAGTCGAATCTATGCAAATAAAACATACAAAATAAAACATCTCAACACCATTATTACTTACATTAACCGCGATGATTTTATTAATTTTTAACCATACCTTATTATCTTTTATGCAGTTTCAAAAGCAAAGATTCTTGCCAATGCAGAACTCTACATTAAGAGTGGAAGCGACATTAACCTAACCTGTGTCGTCGAACAGACACCTGAGCCACCGTCCTTCATTTACTGGTGAGTTTAATTGGGTTCTCGCTCGAATCCAATTTCCATCATCTCCAACGGATTATACGAGTGCTGAACTCTTACATTCATTAACACTCTATCGCAAACAAGCTTCTTGAACTCACGTCTGCAGAATTATAGTACATATTAAAAGTTCTAGTCTATAGCATAGATTTGTTTTCAATTATAGACATCAATATCTATACATACATATATAAATGTCAGCAAAAATGTGGGAGAAAAAAAGTCCCACATTTTCAATCATCACTATATATAAATATTGAGTCATTATAAAATTAATTAATAAACTCATAATTATTTAACAACTAATGCATTTCCAGGCATCCGAAATAATTATACTTTTTCACTTGTGTAGAATAAAACCACCGCTCGAATTACTGTGCACAACATAGTAGAGAAATAATAAACATTTAACATATGACACTCATCAATGATTACTATTTCAAAAAAAGGTTTTCATAAATTGTAGTTTGTCTAATATTTTTTTTTGATTTCGCAGGTATAGAGGCGAAAATGTAATAAATTACAGTCAGCGTGGTGGTATCAGTGTAGTTACAGAGAAGCAAACGCGAACGTCGCGCTTGTTAATTTCAAGAGCACTTCCAGCCGATTCAGGCAATTACACGTGTGCTCCTTCGACAGCTGAATCAGCCAGTGTCCTAGTCCACGTACTTAATGGTGAGTGAGTATATGTATAAAACAGTATAGAAAGCGTCATGTCAGATGTAGAGGAGCCATTTCATATAATATATATGTATATATAGTTTTCGACTACATGTTTTCTGCGCAAAGTTTACGTGAAATGATGGCTAATATTCATTGCATATATTAGATGATGGTTTCGTCAATTGTATAATGCATGCAATTATTATTATTATTATTCACCTCAACTATAATATGTAATAATAGCGGAATTTGATCTAAAAAGTCGCATGTGTTTTTCAATAATGTCTTGATTCATCTTTTTATAACATTACTGCACATTTCAAATTATACATAAACAAAAAAAATTCATTCCAGGAGAACATCCTGCCGCAATGCAGCACGGAAATTCCAGCAACAGTGGAGCGACAACTCGCACCCTAGCACTTCTCCTTCTACTGATACACGCTGGAGTGACGAGGTGACTATTCGATCGCGACACGCATTAAACTTGGGCCAATATCCACCACGTCTTTCCACTGTCATGTGCGTCCGTCATTTATATTAGTGACTGTGGATCAACGCGAAAGGTATAAAAACAAAGTAGCTCAGCTGCTGATCTACTTTCAAGAATAGCGTGTGTCGCGAAACTACATCTCGAAAAATAAATGCCAAATATCGTTGCGATTCGCACATTTAAAAAAAAAATTTCGTGAAAAATATCTTTTTTGTAAAACATTTAAAAATTATACAAAACAATGGAAAAAAAATTACACTTTTGTTGTTACCACCTAGTCTAAAATACCATGTCTAGTAATAATAAATTACACCAACATCAATTTATAATTGGCAAAACTCTATAAATTTAAACTCTTAATGTTTATTCATTTTAAGCTCAAGATATTCTTGGGATCTTTTATTTTTGGCACATAATTCACATGGTCATGATTTGGAGGAGAAGAAGAAATTTTTGTTTATACTTGTTAAATAATTGAATTATTGACCTTTTACGCACTATTCGATCCTCCTTCAAATGTAGTATTGAATTATTATTTCAATTAATTACTATTGATGTATTGTAAAGTATGTATAAAAATAAACGTGATTAAGATCCCAAATCGAAATAATCTCACACATTACTAATTTTTTCATCATTAGCAATGCTTGAATATATATATGTATATGTACCTCAAGCAAGCTAATCTTATACCGACTGGCAATACTTTAAAAAAAAAAAGTTGTGCTGTGTGATATTATTAAGCAAGCATAGCATATTTGATGAATAACAAATTTGTTGGAAAACAATTCAAAGAAATTTTGTATTACATTAGTATTTATTTTTTATGAATTATAATAAAATCCAACAACATTGAAATGTGTAACATGATAATTTAATGATGCATACTTTTTCTTTGAACCGCATCATTCTTGAAAATTGTATTACTACAATGTATCCTAAATTTCAAAGGCTTTATAATTTATTTCACTTTAATGACACGAGCTCTATACATTAACAGAGAATTGTTTAATTAATAGTGATTAACAACTTTTAAGACCAGAGTTATCAAATAAATTATTGATACAATAATACTTGAGCATTAAAATTAATTTGAAATCATTTCTAATTTCTCAATACCACTACCATCAAGTTTGTTAAAAAAATAATATTCATCATTTTATTTGGAATTGGAAATTGTCAATTTACTGCAATATTTTTTCTTTATTGAACGCGCAGACAACTTGATGCGATACTACAACAAAGACCTGAATACTGAAAAAAAATGCTATTGAATCTATAGCAGACACATTCACATATGTTAATAAGGAGCTGTAATTAATTTAATGTAATGTGTAGTTCATTTTTTGATTTTGCTATTAAGTGAACAAATATCACATCAAGTTTTACATATTATTTGTTTTTGAACATTTGCAAATATGCGTGCTATAGTTTTAGTAGCGTTTTCCCCTCAGTCAATTGTTTGCTAAATAAATTTGTTATTATTATATACCAACAACAACACTATATATATATATATATATATATATATATATATATATATATATATATATATATATATATATATATATATATATATATATATATATTACTAATTAATAATTAATGCTAAATATATATAGCAACCTCTCTTTTCTACGTTTCATGTTACTCATGTTGAGACATTTTTTTCAAATATATAAAAGTGGCGACCAACAGTAACAACAATTCATTTCTTGGAATGAATATATCGCCATTTTCATAAAATCCAACAAATAAAAACAGCTTACTTTATAAATGCACTACATTCATGCCTGTGTGGGATAAAAATATTTTATATAAGAATTAAGCTGATTCATTTTGAAACAGCTTAATTCTACATTGTATACTACACCTATTCATTTTTATGTATACTTTTTATTTAGTTGAATAAATAGTTTATTTTACATCTTCAATGATACACATTATGCAAAAATAGATTGATTCTTTAAATTCTGATTTTCAAGAATTTTATCAATTTAAATTATAAAGAATGATCTAAATGGGTAGAGTGGGTCAAAAGCGTGTAGCGTTTTCATGATTAATTTCACATCTATTGTGATACAAAAGATGTAAATATATATATGAACGTTAAAAAAATGAGAGTGCCCGCCCTTACATGCGGTTTTGCTCCACTCTCCTCAAATTATACGAAAATTAATAATGAAATACGTTTTTGTATGCACCTTTCTGTTTTTTGAGTCTGCTGTTGCACCATAAATAGTACCATAGTACATTTATGCAACAATCCAGCTTCTTCCCACAAATACTATTTATATGGTATACTCTACATGGACTTGTTGAATTTATATTATTTTAGAACATGTATGTACAGTTTTTAAATATGCTATTAATAGCGTTTGATATTTTCTTGGGAAGTAATTTTTTAAAAAAAAGTAAAAAGAAAATTACTTGGGTTTTATCAAGTTTTGAAAAATTTAAATCCATTTTTTAAACAAAATATAATGTCCAGAGAATACAATTTTAATGCGCACGCGTTGGCTATCATCAATCAAATTTTGTGAATATAAATTGTGCAAAAGGAAGAAGAGATGTATACTGTAATTGTAGATTTTGTAGATAGATAGGCATATACATATCTTGTTTGATGCGTCATTATTTTAAAACATTGTTTAAAAGACTATTGTTTTAACCACCCCCCGAACCTCTGTCACGAAGGCTCAAGTGTTTAATGCTTTGCTTGATTTTTCCAACACACCGCTATTATTAGTGGGGCGTAAGTCAATGTGAATGTTTAATATGCTCTATAATGTTTAGAGTTTAAAACTCTAATAGTAAACAATAACAATAAGACAAATAGTTGGGTATATTTACGCATCTTTCGGATCAAACCACACTACACCTACCACTAATTTGCCATAATTTTCATTTCACAAAATCTCAATAATTGGCACAAGCATCGCGTTTGTTATGAATGTTGATTGGCAAGTGAGATTTATCTTCTATGAAAGCTTTCTGTTTAATCAATCTATGGTATACCATTGTGGAGTTGCATAAGAAGAAAATTTGTATCAACTCGATAGAATCTAGACTATAGAAAATTTTCTGGGTTCGTGATTAAAAGTTTGACAGGCAAAATTGTTGAATACAAATACTAATAATGTATTAGTTTTTGAAATGTGAAACAGAATACACATCTTTTTATTTTTTTTTAATTTTGGTGTTATAGAATGTTTTTATTTTAATCATTATTTTTTTGAAAAATAAACCTTTTACTTTTTCAAGAAAGAAAGAAAAAGTTAATACATATTTACAAAAAAACGTACGGTAATCATCTATAAAACATTTATAATTTTACCCTCATTACGCTAGACTAAAAGTTGATACAAAAAGCTCCATAGCTATACATTTATTCGTAAAACACACTCTTGTTTTGTTTTTTGTCATGAGATGACTATTGTGCATGTATTTGATAAATATATTATGTAAGTGCATAAAGAAAGCTTTAAACCTGAAAAACTTGTGTGTAATATAAAAATCAATGTGTCATGAAGAATCAAAGAGTATTAGGGTGCGATACTGTGTGAAGAGCGTAGTATTATTTATGTAAAATATGTTCTACAACTTGATAGTTTGAATCAAGTGTGATCACACACGCGCATAGACTGTTTGTAGATTAATTATATCCTCCGCATATATGTATTAGTGATTTGACAATGAGAACAAAGCATTGACGTGCTCTTTATTAAATTTATACATAATTGTTTAAGTATTCATTAATAAAGAGTCTATGTATATATATATATTGAACATGAGTGTGTGAGTTTTTTATGTGGGAACTATATACGATTGAGTTTTAGTTTTAGAGACAAATTTATTCTTTTGCTACTTGCTAATGAATAAAAGAAAATAATCATCTCTAATAGTAGGATAATGATAAGATGAGTTTTGCCTGAAATAATATAGAGATGGTGAAAAAAATTGAAGAAATAAGTGAGAGTGATACACTGATGAACTTTTATTCTATAAACTGTTGAAATGATTATAATATTAACGAAACAATATAATTCTATAAAAAGTGACACAACTTGAAATTTGTCACCCGAGATTTTCAAAAAAAAAAAAACTGTGGGTAAACTGGTTTATACAAAGTTGATATAATGAGAAATTTTTCTCCAATATCGACTTTATTAGAAGAAGAAGAAACCAGAGTTTCTGTTGATTTAAATATTTAAAAAAAATAGTGTATACTTGAATGTAAACATTTACCACTAAACTAATAATAAGAGTATTAATGTATATAAAAATTTGTATGTATTAAAAATGTTGAATGATGAATATTGTATATGATACATTGAATGTATCAATGTCAAGAAAAATTTATTTTGTTTCTAAAATATTGCATTAAATTGTGTTTATAAAATACTTGTTATTACCAATGCTTTTCTGCCAACAACAACAACAAATTGAATTATTACAGATTTTTATCAAAAACGTATTATTATACATCATGAAAAGTTTGTTACTTGATTCATTTTTTTGTTTATTCATCAAGTAAATAATGCAATAAATTATTATTATATAGTTTTCAAATGAATCCATGTGTGAATACCCAAGTTTATGAAAATGAAATATTTTTAATTTATATAAGGAAATTGCCCATCATCATATAATAATAAAAGTCGATATACTGCATATATAATTATTTCAACTTTTATTGCAATGGTAGCATAATGCATAATATTTATTCAGGAAATGCAAAAGCTGATTTATATAATGTCTTTTTATTTCATTACATTTACAATATTGTATTATTATCAATTTCCAAAATTATGCAGGAAATGTAGAGACCAACTTTTACTCTTATTAACAAGTGTTTATTTTCTAAATTTTTTGGAAACATTAAAAGTTTCAACTTTTTTATTTCGTCGGATCTTGAAATATTGTAAACACTCGTACAAATATTCCAAAATTCTACGCACTTTTACATATAAACTGCCATTTTTAGAGCCAATTTTTCATTTTAACCAGAGTAACATAACGTTGAGCTTTGACTTGCCATTTTAAAACAAAAAAAAGCCTTTTCTCTTGCCTCAGACCGGGACCGAAAAAATTTAGGGGCAAACCAATAAAGAGTTCCATCTGCACCATAATTGTCATTTTGACTTTAGATTTCAACTTTTTTTCATAGTCTGTCTATTTTTGTTTGTATATATTATCAAGTTGATCATGTTGCGCACGATGACACGCATGTGAAAAGTAAGTAAAACTCGAGTAAAAACTATCAACACAAATTAAGAAACAAGTGGTTGTCCCAAGACGAAAAAGTCTGAATTTAAGGCCTTCCACATCTGGATTCTTTCGGGAGTCAAGGGTTTTATTCCGATCAACCAGCACGTATTTTTATAGCATAAGCTTAGGCCGTCAACTATACAACGGCATATATACTCACCAACCGCGCTTGCAATGACAAGCTTGTTGCAAGATTACGTGCTATTTAGAGATTTCGATCAGTTTTCATTTCAGGCTCCAACTTGATCCTATATGAGGCCCTAATAGGGCCTTTATGATAACATTTCTGCATAGGTACACGGGTTAATATAGAAAAAAATACATTTTGGAAGAAACTAAAACAACTTGAATTAATCAAGAGTTTTGTAGAGTGGAGTCTGCGGAAAGAAAAAGAAGTCAACTCTCTCTTCTTTGAAAGTAAATTATTATTATTTATTATTATTAATCAAGACAATAATAATCGTTGGAGCATCATTCTTCCTACAAATTGAACATCACAACCTTCTCTTATAATCTTTTAAACTTTTTCACAAAAGTTTAGCCCATCAGTAGTAGTACTTTATGAGAAAAACTGCAGAGAATATTTGTAGAGAAAAAACATATACATATAATAGGCTCATTTTTGAAGCGGAATCTTTTATTTAATTAATGTTAAATGCTGTAGGACGTGGCGCCAATAACAACAAACGAGTCTTATTTTTTGCTACTTTTATCAAAATGAATATCGCACAATAATTAGGAGTTCAATTTTTTTCTCTGCAGTAAACCATATACACATGCTTTTATGTTCGCATATACTTGAATGCAAAACAAACAATACTCTGGTTTCGAAATTTGACAAATTTAAAAATGTCTATTAAAAATTTTCAATTTCTATCAACTCTAAAAACTTGCATATTCTTTTTATTAATCGGAAGCAACGCGACAGTACAACCTTAAAAATAATTATAATCTTGTCAGTACAATTTTATCAACTGTATACTGAGAATATTTTAATTCAATATTTAAAAGAATTCAAAAAGTTGAATTATATATAATTGAGAAAGACTATGTGTATAGTCGATTCTATAAGATGATGAAAATTTATAAATGAAAATCATGTTTAACCCGTCAGCACTATCGCTTTTTTTAGTGTCTTACTCGCACTCCAAGAGTTCCCTATATAGGTTGAGTAGTGTTGCGTGAGTCTTTTTCTCTATAGCGCGAGTGCTAACGGGTTAATAAAATCAAGATTACATTAAAAAGAATCA